GGTTAGAAGATATCTGTGGTAGATGATCAGAAGAAGTGATCATATCAGCCACTTCATGAAGAGTCTCCTGATTTTTTATCTCTTCCGATACTGAACCATGACCACCTAATGATTGCTGTCGTTGCTCATGTAGTTGTTTTTCTCCCTCACAGATACCACCGCTATTACGTATATCTGCATTTTCTGGTTTCGGATCCTTACCAGGAAACCCTTCCCAACTACTCGCATAAATATCGTAGTTCTTCTCCGTATTTGACTGTCCACCTTCAGCCATAGCACACCCGCAGGCGCAGCACAACACAACGGCCAACACACACATTTTTTTTTTTATTTCATCTTTAGTCACGATAGCAATCTGTAGAAAATAAAGTTATGGCATTAGTTAAGAACCCATAGAGTAATTTAGTGTTAAATGGAACTTTCAGTTTGACTGGATCAGTTCCAAAAGTAGCAATACTTAAGTCGCGAAGTCGAGGACATTCCCATAACATGTGTGAGAGTGTCTCCTTAGGTCCAGGACAGATGTCTTCGTGTACGTGTTGCTGATTCTGTAGTTGTGTTTCGACCGGGGTAGTGGGGTGCGAGTGTGTTATGCGTTGGTAATCAGCGCATTTACGATAATGACCCGCACGCGATGCAGATGTCTTAAAGACTTTAGTACTGGAACAATATCCACATACTAACCCCTCCTCTATGATCATTTCCCCTGGGTGTACACGTTTGGCATGACGTTTCATGGTTGTAACAGACGTGTAAACTAATTTACAGATTGGGCAGGTGGATGTAGAACGATTAGGTCTCAATCTGGTACGACGAGGAGGCGTCGCTGGGGGAGGTTCTGGAGGCGGGGTAGGTGCATGTCCTTCTTCCTGTAGAGGATGGCACCATCTGCAGTAGGGGTTGCGCGTTATATTCAGAGCGCGTGCTAGACGGCCAAATAAAGGGCACATGTCGCAACGAGCTTGCGCGCACAGCCGTGATTCCTTTCCTAGAGTATCAGGATCTAGGTGGAAGGGTGTTCTTGCTGTACCCACGACTGCCGNAGTATAGATGTTGGGTCTTGAATGTTTTGTAAGGCCGGAAGTAGAAGGTGGGATAAGCCTCCTTCCAAGGCCAGGCGTTCAGCCCTATAGGAGCAGGCTAGAGGGCCTGCTGCCGCATGATAGATTTGTACTGGTTTATCATGGGTCGCAGTACCGTCATAAAGTAAAGCAGCAGCTCCTGATGCGCGTTCAGCGAGTGAGGAGGA